ACACTTTTCTGAGCATCTACGGAGGCAAACAGCTCTCAATTGTAGACTCGCTCTCACATCATACTTAACTCTATAAAGCAAATATTTCCATTTCACACGAGAAAAGATTAAAAAAGAAATCAAACGATTTTCTCTCAGTCAGTGCAGCCAGCAGAAGCTGGATGAAATGGTAACGCTGAGATCTCACAGAGGAGCAGTACCGTCTCTGCAAGTACCTTCACTGTTCTACTGTGAAACGTCTCACTTCCCCTACGTGTAATGCAATGCCTGTGGGAAGGCACTCCTCGCATCTCAAAGTCCGTACTCTATCTAAATGTGTCCTTCCACTCTTCCTTCCAAAAGAAGCTCCATCTGTCAGCTGTCCAAGCAGGAAGTCTTAGAATCACAGTACATCGCTTGAGTTTTATTCCCTGCATATGTAAGTCCCAATCATCATCTCAGCTTCCTTATTCCATATCTACTATTCTGGTTTGATGTGAAACTGCCCCCCAAATGTTCATGTCTTTAAGTCCTTGGTTCCCTCCAGGTGGCTTTGGTTTGGTAAGGTGTGTGATTTTTTAGAAGGTGCAGTCTTCTTGGAGAAAATCATTCCTGGGAGGATAAGTCTCTCTCTTCCTCCTCTCACCACCCCCTCCCTCCCCACTTCCCTCTCCTTTTCTACTCCCCAATGCACAGCATGTAATCAACACCTGTCGCATGTTCTCCTCACCATGAACAGAGGCTGCTCCCACCAATGCCTTCTCCATCATGATGAATGGACCCTTTCAAACTATGAGCAAAAATAAACCTTCCTTCCCTTAAATTGCTTCATGTCAGGCATTTGGTCATAGAACAAGAAAAGTAATTAACAGAGACACCTTTCCAGCCTCCTGCTTCTGCTTCTTCATAATCTATTTTCCCTTATCACATCACTCTTAGAAGCAAATCCAGTCATACAACTTATCCTCTCAAAATCCCCGAACACAACATAGAAAATGAACTATTACTACAATCAGCAATGATGGCTCTCATAAATATCATTCTGAAGGTTGTGGGTGTTGCTCAACTGTTAGTACGGGATTTGCCTATTGTGGTGGTCTCAATAAAAATGGCCCCTATAAGCCCCAGTGGCTTTATTAACGGTGTGGCCTTGTTAGAGGAAGTGTGTCACTCGGGGTGGGCTTTGAGGTTTCGAATGCTCTAGCCAGGCTCATTGGCTCTCTCTTCCTGCTACCTATGGATCCAGATGTAGAACTCTCAGCTCCTCTCCAGCACCATGTCTGCCTGCATGCCACCATGCTTCCTGCCATGATGATAATGGACTCAACCTCCAAACTATAAGGCAGCCCCAGACCCTAAGATACCTAGCATGCACAAGATTCTGGTCTATCTACAAGTCACAGGTACAGTGAGAAAGTAATAAAAGTACTACATTCTGTTTAGTTTTTTGTGGGTTTTGTTGCTGTTGCTTTGAGACAAGGTATCACTGTGTACCCTTGACTAGCCTGAAACTCATTATGTAGACCAAGTTCACCACCAACTCACAGAGATCTAGCTGCCTCTGCCTCCCAAGTGCTGGAATCAATAGGGCGCATCACCATATACACCTGCTATGGTTTTGTTGTTGCCGTTGTTGCTGTCTGCTTTAGTAAACGGTACTGCTAACATGTAGAACATTAACAACATGGGCAGTACCCAGAAAGCCTCGGCATCTACTAAGACTCCCCATTGCTACACTCACTGGCCTTTTTAGTGCCTCAAATATGCCATGTTCATTCTTGTAATCAATTTATTTTTAAGATTTACTTATTTTTAGCCGGGCGTTGGTGGCGCACGCCTTTAATCCCAGCACTCGGGAGGCAGAGGCAGGCGGATCTCTGTGAGTTCGAGGCCAGGCTGGACCGACAGCCTCCAAAACAACACAGAGAAACCCTGTCTCGTAAAACCAAAAAATAATAATGATAATAATAATAAAAATAAATTAAAAAAAAGAAACTGGTGCTACAAAAGATTATTGGCTGCCATGTGGGTGCTGGGAGCTGAACCTGATTCCTCTGGAAGAGCAGCAAGTGCTCTTAACCAGTGAGCTTATCTCTCCAGCCCCATTTTTTTTTTGAGACAGGGACTCACTATACAGTTCAGAGTGGGCCTTGAAATTGGTCCTCCTGGCTCAGCCTCCTGGAGGCTGAGATATAGGAATACAGTGCTACACTAGGCTTATGATCAGATTCTTAAATTTTTTTTATTTATGTGAACATGTTTGTGTATATGCAGGTACCTGTGTGAGCACACATGTGGAGATTAAAAGTCAACATCTGATGTCTTCCTCGATTACGTGCCACCTTATTTTTTTGAGACAGAGTTTCTCATTCATCATAGAGCTCATGGACTAGTCAGAGAGTAGGCAACAGAATCCCTGTCTCTGCCACCTCAGCACCAAGATTACTGGTATGTGCTGCCGTGCTGTGTTGGAGATCTGAGCTCAGGCTATCATGTGTACACCACAAGTACTTTACTGGCTGAGCCATCTCCCCAACCTGTAATCACAATTGTTTTAAGTGTGCTTTACCTACCCATCAACCCTCAGTGGGGGCCTTCTAAGGTCCACCACATATTCTCCTCACAAAGCCTACTTTTTCCCCTTCATGGTACTTAGCATGATATATGTTATACAAGGATGAGGTTGTTCTCTAAGAATTCTTCTAATAATTATCTACCCCACTCACTGAGCTGTATACTCTAGAAGAGACATTCAACATTGTTCTGAATGTTCAATAAATGAATAAATAAAGGGCTGGAGAAATGGCTCAAGGGTTGAGAGCACTTACTCTTTTTTTTTTTTTAAGATTTATTTATTTATTATGTACAGTGTCCTGCTTGCATGTGCCTGCAGGCCGGAGGAGGGCAACAGATCTCATTATAGATGGTTGTGAGCCACCACGTGGTTGCTGGGAATTGAACTCAGGGCCTCTGGAAGAGCAGTCAGTGCTCTTAACCTCTGAGCCATCTCTCCAGCCCCGAGAGCACTTACTCTTGCAGAGGACCCAGGTTTGGTTCCAGCACCTACAGAGTGGTTTGCATCCACCCATAACACCAGTTTCAGGGGATCTAGCACCTTTATCTGTCCTTTGAGGGCACCAGGAACACATGTGTACACAGACATACATGCAGGCAAAACACTCATGCACAGAAAATAAAATAATAAATCTAAAAAAGAGTTTAAAAAAATCAGTAATTGGAAGGACCCCCCACCTTAAAAGACTTAACTGTTACACCTCCATTGCCTGCCAGTTTCCTGAGTATACTAGCCTTCAACAAGAATCACTCACCCAGAAGGTAACTGCATGATAAAAATGTGATATGCTCATTGTAATAGGACACCGGACACCTGTGGTTATGTTGTCAACTACTCTCGCACAAGTACCAAGTAATTCAATGAGAAAGGACAATAAATTCAACAAGTAGGGCTGAGTAGAACCCCTGGATGAGTTGGGAACCTCAATCTTTGGTGTTTATAATAAACAGAAGTAATTAAAATTATACAAAACACCAAAGTTAAAAGTGTAAAACTTCCAGAAAAAATACATGAGAAAATGTTAGGCAAAAGATACACGCATTGTGGCCCAGGAAAGAAAAAGACAGATAAAATGAACTTCCAAGGTTAAGACAAATCTAAGAAAGAAATAAAACATGACTCCTGCAAGATGGCTCCTTGGTTAAAGATGCTAGCTGTGCAAGCCTGACAGCCTGAGTTTGAGTCCCCAGATGCCACATAAAGATGAAGGAGGAAACTGACTCCACCGAGTTTTCATTTATCTCTAAACCTATAAACACAAACGCGCACACACACACACACACACACACACACACACGTATGTATACATATATGTGCAACATCTACACATATATAGTTAGGTAGACAGAAAGACAGATGATAATAGAGATTGCATCACATAATGTCTGTTGTAATTTAAAAATCAATGTGTGTGAGAGAAAGATGCCTTTCCACAGAGCTCACATACATGGAAAGGTTTTTTATTAGGGGGAAGGGAATGAGAAAAGGAGGGAAGGGAGAGAGGAGACCAGCCTCTGAGGACAGGAACAGCAGAAGAGAAAGGGGGGAGGGAGAGACAGGAAGAGAAGCAGAGAGAGAAATGGGAGATGGGCAGGGCCCCTTTAAAAGGGAACATAGTGAATGTGCACAGTTGGTGCTTTTAGTGGCTGCAGCTGAGGGAGTATTGACAGAACCCCAAGGACAGGACAGTACAGATGCCTGAATACTAACAATGTTGAGGTATTTTATATTAGATAACAAATAGGGACCCATCTCTGTGAGAGAATAATTGTCTCTTTCTCTCAGCAGTCATTATTTGCCTGTAGACAGTCTCTAAGAATAGGATTCTTCTTTGTTCACATGTCTACCAGTATTATCACCGTTTAGGCAGCCATATATTGATGTGTTATCAAGAATGCAGCTTCCTTGTCATTTTGAGACATAAACTTTTTTGCTTATAATTTTGTTTGTGGTGCTGGGGTATAACACAGGTCCTTACACATGCTATAATACTACTCCATCTACATCCACAGCTGCAGCTAATAATTTTCAGGAGTATAATAACACTAATCTAACTTACAAGAAGATTCCTTATTCTTCGGAAACCCATGTCTTTTTTTGTTTTGTTTTTGTTTTCAGGCAGACCGGATGTGAGATTTATTACTAAACATGATTTGGTGGGGTATAGGACAGCACAGTAGAAGTCTGAGGAGTACAGGTCTGTCTGTCACTTGTCAAGGGCACCATGTATGGGTTTATATGTGACCCCACAGTCAGGAAACTGACTTACACTTGGCTCTACCAGGGCCTCAATCACATGTTCCTTATTCTGCAGTTTGTTGTGGATGGATGTGAGGACTTGGTCACTGTGCCCTGGGGCTCCCTCCCCAAAGTCACCACACATACCTGTCTGAAGTTTACTTTAATGACAGCACTGAGATCAGTCACACATGAATAGCTGCCAGGAAATTGTCTTCAAGATCCCTTAGGGCAGCCCATATAGGAAACAAACAGTATGTACTGAGGACAATGCTGTCTGCAGCCACTGCATACCAGGCCTCAATCAAGAAAGGGTCCTGGTCAGCTGAAGTGGTTATAGCTCCCTCCCTCCCTCCCTCCCTTCCTCCCTCCCTCCCATCTTTCCTTCCTTCCCTGCCCCCTTTCTTTCTTAAGACAAGGTCCCATTATGTAGTCCTGGTTAGCCTGTAACTCACTAGGTAGATCAGGCTAGTCTTGAATCCAGAAATCCACTTCCTTCTGACTCCAGAGTACTGGGATTAAAAACTGATGCTACCACACATAGCCCTCCTTTCTAAAGGTTTTCAATTTTTTTAAAGTAAAAGTTGAGAAAAGTTTGATTTTTATATTTGTATTTTGTATGTCCATATGCACATGTGAGCACGTGTCAGAGGACAACTTTCAGGAGATGACTCCCTCCTTCCACTATGTGGGTCCCACAGATCAAACTTACATTTGGTAGTAAGTGCCTTCACTCGATAAGCCATCTGGCTAGTCTGTGAACCAGTTTTTGTTGTTTTGTTTAGACAGGGTATCACTAGCTCTGGCTGGCCTAAATCTCACGGAAATCCATCTGCCTCTGCCTCCCTAGTGTTGGAATTAAAAGCATGTGCCACCTACACCCAGCAAAAAGTCTGCTTTTTGATAATCCTTTTTTCAATATATTTTGGAACTACATGTGTCCTTCTATAATGGTTTGTATGCACAGGAGAGCCAGGCAGCAGCCTGCAAGCAGCAGACATGTGAACCGAAGCCAGCACTGATGCCTCACAAAAGAGGGCGATTCTGTGTTGACCCCTTAGCCTTCTTTAGCTTGCTTTTCTAGATGTGTCTACCTTCCTTGTACAGGGCTATTAGAAGAACTAACCGTTAGTCCTCAAAAAAACACTTAGGACAGTGCCTGTTTGTGGTTTGCCCTTGGTGCCTCTTCCCTATTATTTGGCACAATATTGGATACAGAAGAAGAAAGAAGAAAGAAGAAGAAGAAGAAGAAGAAGAAGAAGAAGAAGAAGAAGAAGAAGAAGAAGAAGAAGAAGAAGAAGAAGAAGAAGACAAAGCTCTGACCTAAAGCATTTACAATATACTTTTATTTTTAATTTTATGTGCATGAGTATTTGCCTGCATGTTTGTATGTGCACCATATGCATGCCTGATAACCATGGAGGTCAGAAGAGGGTGTCAGATCCCTGAGAACTGGAGTTACAGACACAATATGGGTGCTGGGAACCAAACCCAGGTCCTCTGCGAGAGCAACAAGTATTCTTAATCACTGAGCCATCTCTCCAGCCCTTACAAGGTCTTTAGTAAGACTCATAAAATAGCAGTAAACAGTGCAAAACAAAAGGCGACAGAAATCAAACTGTGTTGCCACTGTTATTAAAAAAGGCTTTGAGGAGGCGTGTGTTGGTGGTGCATGCCTTTAATCCCAGCACTCAGGAGGTAGAGGCAGGCGGATCTCTGTGAGTTCGAGGCCAGCCTGGTCTACAGAACGAGTTCCAGGACAGACTCTAAAGCAATACAGAGAAACCCTGTCTCAAAAAAAAAAAAAAAAAAAAAAAGAAAGGAAAAAAGAAAGAAAAGAAAAAAGGCTTTGAGGAAGAAAAATAATGTGAAGAAAGGAGATATTGAAGCCATGAAAGGCAGGCTGGGGAACTTAGGGAGTTTTTCCACCCACTGCACTAAAACCACTCTGTACAGATAATTTAAAATTCTCACATCTTTGTGTTCTAAATAAATCCAAACAAGGACAGTACACCTAAGATGGCCTTTCATCTTGAAACTGGCTGTCCTAGAACTTACTCTGTAAATCAGGCTGTTCTTAAACACAGGGATCCACCTGCCTCAGCCTCCCCAGTCCAAGGCTCTCATGTGTTGTTTCTAATCAAAATATAATGTAGCCATTAAGTTATAAATGTTGGTAGAGCTTTAGGAAAAAAATAACAGAAACCAACAGGGTTCTAAGAACCTGACCACGCCTCCACAGTACCAGAAAGGAAATGAATAACAATGTTTACCCTCACAAAAAGCAGCTACAATTGATAAGCATCTCATCCACTTCCCAGAGATGAAAGGCAATACCGGAATTTGGCACAGTAACTTCAATAGAAGGCCAATCTTTCAAACAAGATGGATCCTGCTTGAAAATGTTTATGGGGAACTACAAACAAACTTCCAAGTGGAAGGGGTTGCTCCGTTTACCTTTCGATTATCCTACCCTCTGAGAGAGCAAACACCAGATTATGAGACTTTACTATTTTGCCAACAAATGAACTGCTTTCAATGACGTCTTATATGTACATATACAAAAATCTGGGTAGAAATATATAATTTCTGACTTAAATTTGGACATTTTTCTCTGTTTGTAAAACAGATTTTCAGCTCATTATATCTCCATAGGCTCTTTACAATTTTTTTCAGTTTTCTATGGCTTTTTAAAAGACAATTTGACAATATCAAAATTTTAAGGTTTGAAAGAACTTCTACCAAGCTTCGAGTAGTGGGCCAAACCTTTAATCTCCCAGTGCGTGGCTGGTCTACATGGTGAGTTCCAGGACAGCCACACAATGACGCCCTGTCTCAATAAAATAGAAGGAAGGAAGGATGGAGGGAAGGAAGGAGGGAGGGAAGGAGGGAGGGAGGGAGGGAGGGAGGGAGGGAAGGAGGGAGGGAGGGAAGGAAGGAAGGAGGGTAGCAGGTCATCATTTTGGCTGAGGCTAGCCCTGAAGTTTAAGGCTATGATTTATAAGGAAGCCTTTCCTTCAGTGACTTTTCAGCATCACAGTAATAAAACATTATGATCCCACCAAGGTGGCACGGCACATTCTTTTCTAGTAACCTTATCTGTGGATCTTCACTAACGGTACTTTCCAAGGTAGTCTTTCAAAAAAAAATCAAACCTGATGACTAATTGATGAGTGTAAGTGGAAAACCTACTTGCTTAAAAAAAATAAAATAAACAATTGAAAATTAGCAAAAATAACAATTGGGTTGGAAAGCTGGCTTGGCTGGTAAAGGGGTCTGCTTGCAAGCCTGACCACTCGATTTCAATCCAGGTTCGGGGAGACTCGACTGATTTCTACAAGTTATCGCCTGGCCACTACTTGCGTTCGAATGGTGTGCCCGTGTGTGCGCACGCACGGGCACACACACACACTAAATGGAATTGAATTCTTCAAAATAAACAAGTGAGGAGAGACTACTATATTTTCATGTGCCTTGACTAAAGGAAGAAGCAAATTATGTAGTTCCTGTAGTTTTCAGGGTTTCCTCCCAGCTCAGATTCAGGTAGCTGGACTACACACACAGCACTAGGCCCGAGTTTTGTGTGAAACGGGAACTGGGGCCTCTTGCTGGGTGATGCTCTGGATACAGAAATGATGGTAGTACACCTTGCAAATACACTAAAAGTCACACCACCGTACACTTTAAAAGAATGAGCTTTAGTCAGAATAACGTTAAATGCTTCAAAGCCAGCCTGGTCTACACAGCAAGTTTCATGCTAACTAGAGCTTCACTGTGAGACCCCGTCCAAAATAAAATTACGTCTTAAAAAAGTGAGCTTTGCTAGGCAGTGGTGGTGAATGCCTTTAATCCCAGCTCTTGGGAGGGGGGGCAGAGGCAGGTGGATCACTATGACTTCAAGGCCATGGTGGCGACCACCATTAGTTCCAGCACCAGGAGGCAAAAACAGGAGGCTCCTGTGAGTTCAAAGCCCTCTAAAGGCAGATCAATCGTCTCCTCCACGAACACAGCATTCCATTTGAATCCCACCACAACACTACACGCCTGCTTTAAGGCTGTCTTGTCATAGAGCAAAGGGGTACATGTTGTGTGAAGTAAACATGACCTCACAACATTCACATAAGAGAGAACGGTAAAACACTCCACCACATCAGTTCTGGACACCAGCTGCTGCCAATTACCCTCTGTGGGCTGAGACAATGGTTCAGCCAAGGCTCAGGTCAGCTCCTTCCCTCCCATTTTGTGGCTGCTATAATGGGAAAGTAACCGAATGTTACAGACCATTTACCCACCCACCCCCAGCCCCAACCTATTCAGACTTCTCTACCAAAACAAACATTTATTGGGTAGACACTGTGCTAAGATCTGACGTACAGGGCGGAAGCCTCAGACAAGGTCCCTATAACCCTGCAGCTTACAGTGTCATTAGAGAGGAAGGCAATAAAGGGAAATGCTAGGGGTGATGCTCAAAAGCCGTTCCTGATAAGAGCATGTTAACTTCGTACTGAGTGCCTGCCTGCCTGCATTATGTCAAGTCCTGAGCACAAGAGATACAAGATACACCAGACAGAGTCAGGCGTCCTGACAGAAACTAGCCGGGACTCAGAAGGTGAAGGTGAAACAGTTTTCAGACTTTCCCAGGCTGAGAAAGCTGCACTGTTCTCTGGACTGACAGCAGACAGCACCTCAAAGAGCTCTGATTAAGACCTTTCTGGGTTCCTTAGTATATAAGCACCAAATGAGCTTGATTTTCGAAATATTTTTCTTGATATGCTGTGAAATCAAATTAGAGGCACACTGGGAGTGGAGGAGCAGATACCAGAAACTAAGGAGAGAATGAAATGTGTATTGAGAACAGTGGAATAGGGTCTGGAGAGATGGCTCAGTGGCTGGGAGCACATGCTGTTCTTCCAGAAGACCCAGTGTCACAACATCCTATAACACCAAGATCTGACACTCTCACACAAACAGACATGCAAGCAAGACACCAATGCACATAAAAAAGTAAGCTTTTAAAAGGGGGGCTGGAGAGATGGCTCGGAGGTTAAGAGCACTGACTGCTCTTCCAAAGGTCCTGAGTTCAATTCCCAGCAACCACATGGTGGCTCACAACCATCTATAATGAGATCTGATGCCCTCTTCTGACCTGCAAACATACATTCAGGTAGAATACTGTATGCACAATTGATGAATCTTTGGAAAAAAAAAAGAATGCTGAACTAAATCATCTTTGACACCCACAGCTAATGCAGTACCTGGCACATTATCAATAAATCAATTCTCATAGGGAAAAAAATTATCAGATGACACAGGACTGGGTTAACCACCAAAATATTTTAT